GATTCCTTTCTTCTTTGTATTATCTGATAATGTTGATTATTCCTACTTCTATAAATTCTTCTTGTTTTTCTAGTTTTCTTCCAGCCTCTTAAGCTGCTCTTTCCCCCCCTTTTTTTTTAAAAAAAAGGTTTACTTATTTGTTTATTTATTTATTTAGAGAGGGGGTGGGGGGAAGGGCAGAGAATCCTCAAGCAGACTCCCCACTGAGTGTGGAGCCTGACACAGGGCTCGATCCCAGGACCCTGAGATCATGACCTGAGAGTCCAATGCTTAACCGACTGAGCCACCCAGGTGCTCCTAGACTGTTCTTTTTCTAACTGCTCTGCAAACTCCTCTTTCTTTCCTTCTCCCTTACTGTGGGTAGCCACCAAAGTTCTGTATTTAACCCTTTGCTGTTCTTTCTCTCACTTGTCTTTCACAATCATTTACTCATATCCTCCAAGCTTCAGCCAACAGCTCTGTACTACCATCTTCTATTCCTTCTACTTTCTTGAACACTGATTTGAATATAAATCCTTTATATCTATTTCCTAACTACCTACTGTCTGAAACTGATCTCATACTCTACAAATTAGTCCCGTGCACCAGTCCATTTCTGTCAATGTTACTAGTATGTGTTTAATTTGTAACACCCCCCCCAAAAAAACTTTATGTTGAAGCCCTCATTATGTGACCTTATTTGGAAATAGGTTCTTTACAGAGGTAATCAAATTAAAATGAGGTCATTCAGGTGGGCTTATGGACTTATACGACTAGCATACTTATAGAAAGGAGAAATTTGGACACAGACATGCAAACAGGGAGAATGTCATGTAAACATGAACGCAGAGACTGGGGTGATGCATCTACAGGCCAACAAGTGTCGAAGATTGCCAACAAACCATGAGAAGCTAGGAGAGAGGCATGGAACAGATTCTCCCTCACAGCCCTCAAGAGGAATGCACCCTGATGACACCTTAATCTCAGAGTTCTGGCTTCCAGAACTGTGAGGCAATAAACTTCTGTTGTTTAAGCTGCTCAGTCCGTGGTACTTTATTGCAGTAGCCCTAGAGAACTAATATGACCACTGACCCTCCAATCTCCCAGACTAGAAAACCTAGCCTCATCTCAGGTTCTTGCTTTTTCTTCATCATCTATATCCAATCTGGCGCCAAAGACTGTAGTTATTCTTCTGAAGTGACTCCTAGCATCTTTAATCTCATATTTTCTGTTACATCCTTTTATTTTACTATTTTATCTCAGTTCCTGTTACCTTCACTCTAGTCCTGGGCTTCATCATTTTATATCTAAATTCCTATAAAAGTCTCTGGCAGGTCTCTCTTTCTCCAAAATTTATTTCCTAAAATATATAATTCATGTTGCTTTTATCATACTAGTGCCATGACTGAGACATGCTTATAGTGCCATGTTGTCTATTATGGTAAATGTAACCTTGGCATTCATGGTTCCCCATAATCTGGATCCATCTTGTCCACTCAATCTTTTATCCCCCTATACCCAGCATCTTTATTTCTCTCTCTGAGCCCTGTTCCTTCTCCTCTCCTGCCTCCACATCAAGATACTTTCTTACTCTCCTCATCCAAACCTTCATCTTTTTTTAAAAATTTTATTTTATGGGGCACCTGGGTGGCTCAGTCGGTTAAACGGCTGCCTTTGGCTCAGGTCATGATCCCAGGGTTCTGGGATGGAGCCCCGCATCGGGCTTCTTGCTCAGCAGAGAGCCTGCTTCTCCTTCTCCCTCTGCCTGCCTGCCGCTCCCCCGCTTGTGCTCTCTCTCTCTCTATCTCCCTCTCTCTCTGTCAAATAAATAAATAAAATCTTTAAAAAAATTTTATTTTACTTTATTATGTTATGTTAATCACCATACAACCTGTTCATCTTTCAAGATCCCAGTCAGCTTTCACTGAATGCAACTACTCTGGCCACACTAATATCTCTTGGCCTTGCTGCATTCTAATCAGTACCTTACAGGTTAGAACCAAGTGGTATTTCTTATATTTATGTAAATTTACACATATTGCACCTCTATTTCCATAAGCTGATAGGATGCAGTCCTTGTTAATTAATTGATCAAACTTTTAAAAAGGGAATAATGACAGGTGTGGGGAGGGACGGAAGGATATTGGAAACCAAGAGAAGTGAAAACTTTGGCTAGAACAATGAAGGAGAATGAGTCTCAGTCAATGTTTTCCAAATGTGCTCCCTGGACACAGGGATGCCTGATAAAAAAATGCAAATTCCTGAGCTTCATTACAGACCTACTTAATCAAACCCTGCAGCCCAGAAATCTGATTTTTTAAAGGTAACCCAGTGAAGCTTATAGATACCAAATCTGAGAACCACTAACCTAAGTGGAGAAGGCAGACAATAGATGCAGAAATGGAACACCCATTCTTAGGTTTACTGAGCACATGTACTTCCCATCATGGCTAACAATAGAATGAAAATAGTTTTATACTATCATGATTTGCTTTGATGTGATTTCCCCTCTTCAACACATTGCTTTGAGCACAGCAGTCCTTTCTTCCACAGCAATAAGGTTTCCAGTACTGCATCACAAATATGGGCTGGGTAATACAGAGTCCCCAGAAGAACAGAAATTTTGTGGTACTCCAAGGAAAGGTAACTGAGACTGCTAGGCTAGCTGTGACGCTTACTTTCTTTGGGAAGTAGAATTTAACCAGACACATGCTCTAGACTCCTGGAATTCAAGTTTGGTAGCATGGAGAGAGAAAAAAACAACTCTGAGATCTAGTGCTTAAGCTTTTAATTGGAACCACATGAAACTAAAACATGTAGCTGATTTAGATAAAACCTGAGGACCCGTTTACTGGCTCACACTGAGCAGGATTTCTGCAGTTGACTACTACAGAAGCAAGATAACAAAATTAGATACGATCGAGGGGAAGAAAAATGCACGAAAGTCCTTGAATTAAAATGAATTGAAACCTTCTGGGAGAAAAGCTATTTGGTAAGCTCCATTAAGTCTATTGTAGATAGCTTTATTTGACAAAGCAGCATCCTGGCATGTGGAACAGGAAAGAAAATAGCTATAAGATGATCTGTCAGGGAGTTTCCAGTCCCTAAACGAATAAGATTCTGTGCAGTAGCCAATACAGCTTTTAACTCAAAAGAGATACAGAAGCAAAATGCAATTATATAACACTAGTAAGAACATTTAATCTGAATCTCCCATACACCGCCCCCCCCCGCCCCACCGAATAACTCCTCAAATTCAGCAATTTATCAAGCAAATACTCAAACTGATGGTCACGTTAATTTCAGGGGAACACTGGATTAACTCAGTATACAATACTGCAGATACTGAGATGGAGACAGTTCTATAAGTCAAAGATTAGTCAGCTATAAAACATCTTGGCTAAGCACTTAACTAATATGAATAACTCAATTATGAAACTCTTGTTTTTTTAGCTATAAGTTTATAGTATGCGTTTGCAGTAATTAGTTCACTGTTCTGAAAATGCTAACTGCTGATTACAAAGGATTTATTCAATATATATGGAGGTTTAGATGTTTAGGGATCTAACATATGGCAGAAATAGAGGAAATTCAGATGTAACAGCTACAAATGCCTTTTTAAAAGTCTGAGTTGATAGTTTTCTTTCCTTAAGAGTTTCTGTTCATGGAGCGAAGATTCTAGGACCACTCAAGTGGCTATAAAGCTGCTGGCTTCAATATGCAAGTACTGAAACCAAGAAATTCTGATTTGCATTATAATCAACCAGTTCTCTGTGGGTCTCTGTCTCCATCTCTGTCTCTGTCGCTGTCTCTCTCTCACACACACACACACAGCAGGGACAGTTTACTACAATATCTCTAATGTCTAGCACAGTGCTTGGCATGCAGTAGTTATTAAATGAATGAATGAATTTCTTTAGCCATCCCAACATTCCTGTTAGATGGTTGTATAATGTACTTTTTACAAGGGTGGATCCTGAGCTCAGTGGGACAGAAGTCCTTCCTGAGTCAAGAAGGACACAGTTGGGACTAGAACTCAGGTCCTCTAACTTTAGGTCCAGTGCTTTGTCCACTGTACCTTACTGACTCCTAAGACTGTCTAGAATGGCTTACATGAAAACACTCGTCTTTTGGCTATTTTTATCTCCCTTCTGGTAATTCTCTCCCTGGTTTGTTATGAAATTGAAAGGTGGTATAGTGTCATATTGTTCAACAGGTTTGCCTTATGAGTTCCACTGGGGACCCACATGTGGCCTGTCTCATGGTGAGGTCCTGACTATGCTAAATAAGAGCAAAAGCTTTTACCCAAACATCTGTCTGTAGACTCCTGTTTGGTTCCCAATAAACCCCTAAGTAACCACAATAAAAGTCAGCAGGTAGGTAGACTGTCATATATTATAGATATTTCCCCTTAGTTGGTAGAGTCTCTTTTAATTTTGTGATTCTTTAAAGAAAAATATTTAATTTATAGGAAGATAAATTTATCAAAAGTATCTTTTATAATTTTATCTTTGGAGAACTTCATCCCAAATTATATAAACAACTCCTATATTTTCCAGAATTTCTTTCGCTACGTTTATTTTTTTTTACATTTGAATCTTAAATACATCTGTTACTAATTCTGGTGTAAGGTATACAGGATGTAGGGATCTAACTACTTTTTAAAATGTTTGGCTAGTTGTCTATTTATGTGTAAGCTCTCTTATGATTCCTACTATAGAACATACTATTAACAAATCCAAATCAAGTATAGAACAGTGCTGCCTAAATGTCTAGCCCTCCTAAGAGAAGAAAGGCCACTTTTAATTCGGCACTGTAATGGAAGATGGGAATGAATAAAAAGATCCTTAGCCACAGGGTTGATATTTAGCCACTGTGTACTTATATGGCTTTACCAATTGTTTCTAGCTGGTTCCAGACTTACAGTTTTGTGCCCATAACTTACTGGATGTTAGAAGTTTTAAAGTATCATCCCTGCAAGTAGATGTTAGTTAAATGAAACAAAACAAAATTATCTTTACCTGATTCCTCAGTTTCTTTTGTTTCTGTGGTTTCTTCTATTTCGTCATCAGACATCTCCATTTCTTCTTCTCGCCTGATTCCCATTAATTCATCATTATGTATGTTGCGAATTTCCTAAGGTTAAAAGTTATGCTTTGTTGGTGGGAAAGCTTTGAAAATGTTGAAGAAATGAACAGAGTTAAGGATAAGATAAAGCAGGGTTTTTTGACATATGAAAAAACTTCAGAGTACTCTTAAGGCAAGGACAAGGGGGCACATTGGGGCCGAAACTGTCTTGACAGACAAAGCAGACTTTGTTACATTCTGTCTTCCATAAGGCATTCATTCCATATCCAGAGGTCTGGCAGTTGATGATTCTTATATCCATCCTATATTAGAAAGTACTGTTGGTCATGAAAGGCCTCTTACCTCTTACATGGATTTCTGGACTTTCCTTGAAGGGTTCTGCCATTTTCACCTTCCCATGTCAAATCCTTTCATTTTGCATCCCTGCATCCTCTTCCCTCTCCACTTACAGACTTACTCAACAGAACTCTTAATCTAACTTTTGCATGTTTAGAAGTTACAGCAAAAATGAGCTGTCAGGAGGGAACTTCAATCAGATCAACCCTTCCATGGACAATAACTATACTCTGAACAAAACACAAAATCAAACCAAGCCAAACCCCTAACTACTTGATGGCACTGGAGAGCAAACAAAAGCAGGCATATCCTAAAGAGTGGCTGACACTTGGAAGAAGGATGTGGGTCTCTCAGTTTTTAAGGGCCTTTTAGTCTGACAGCAGACCACAGTTAGCAGCTCACAGAGTAGCTACATTTTTAATAGAAAACCCTATCTTTACATCCTAAAGAAATCAAGGAGATAGCCACAGGAAAGTGAGGAGGGGATCCCAGAAGGGAGACGGCCAAAGAGGGAGAGAGATCCAAATTCTGCCTGTAATATCTGCTCAAATTTCTGCATGACCTTTGAACCATGGAAGCACAGGACAGATTTCAAACAACACAGCTAAGTCTAAAAGAACTGAACTGAGATTTGGGCTGCCATCTAAGAGACATAATTTCCAGCTTAAATTCAATTAAGTAAATTGACTGTTAAAACAAAAGAAACTGAAGTCAACCTTCTTTGGAAGAACATAACAAAATGAACATAACAGAATATAACCAGAACCTTAAAAGCAAAATATTCAAAAAATGCAGGCAAAGCCCAAGTTACTTGACATACAAAGAACTAGGATGAGATGGCCTGTCTTCAAGAGAAAAGATCATCAACAGAAATCAAACTTGAAATGAACCAGATATGGCAGTTAGCAGATAAGGAGCTAAAGCAGCTATTATAACTATCTCAATGATGGAAAGGAAACATGTTCATAATGAATGAAAAGACAGGAAATCTTGGCAGAGAAACAGAAACTTTAAAAAAGAACCAAAGAGAAATTCTAAAACTGAAAAATATAATATCCAAAATAAAATTAACTGGATGAGTCTAACTTTACAATAAAGATGGCAGAACAAAGAGAGAACTTAAAGAGAGAACAATACAAATTTATCCAATCTAAAGAACAGAGAGAACCTAACTGGAATCACAGAGAGGAGAGATTAGATGATTCAAGATTCTTGAAGAAAAAATAGTTGAAGATGTTTCAACTTTGATGAAAGACATTAATCTATATATTCAAAGAGCTCAGTAAACCCCAAGCAGGAGATGTGTGAAAAAGGTATGTCTAAGAACACCATAGTCAAATTGCTGAAACTAAAACATTAAGAGAAACTCTTTAACTCTTTAGTTAGCTAAACTCATTGTGATAATCATTTCACAATCCATGTAGGTCAAATCATAATGCTGTGCATCTTAAACTTATACAGTACTGTATGTCAGTTCTACTCTCAGTAAAACTGGAAGAATAGAGAAGGATGCTTAAAAGCATCCAGAAAACAACAACAACAACACATTATATACAAAGAGACAATTCAAATACTTTGATTTCTTTCAGAAACAATAGAGGCCGGAAGTCAGGGGAACAATATCTTTAAAGTACAGGAAGAAATAAAAATCACTGTTTATTCAGAATTCTATAAGCAGAGAAAAATTCTTTCAAGAATGAAGATGAATTAAATCTATTTTCAGACAAATGTAAATGTAAAAATTTGTCATCCAAAGATTTGCACTATAAGAAATGTGGAAGAAGTTTCCTCAGGCTGGAGGGAAGTGTTACCAAGCTGTAAACACAGATCTTCACGTAGGCATGGAGAACTTTGGAAATGATGGAGATCACACTGGAAAAGTCACTTTAAAAAAAGTCAGCATGAAAACTGCATTTTGGAGCAGCTTGCAATCATTTAGAGGCCACTTAATGCCTATCAGAGGCTTCTCAGCACTGAGCTGAGAATTCCTTGCTTATGTTAGCCCCAATTGGGCCATAATACAGGAAATATCCAAAGCTGTCTGGTGAAAATTGCTTCCATTTAGGGGCATTATAAATACTTCAAATGGATTTCTTAATAATTAATGCTATAGTTAATCACTATCTCAACTAATATTCTCATTTTTTATGCCTTTTACCGGGAAAAATAATAATTTCTATATCAAGGTAAGTTTTCGCTACAGATAAATAAAAGTCCCTTTTAAAAACACAAGCTATTCAGTATTTTAACTGGTAGTTAAGAGGTAATAGAAAAATAGAAGTACTAGAAAATAGAACTACCAACATAGCATCTCTCATGTGCTACAGGGGCATTACTTAAAATAGAAGAAAACAGTGACTTGCTTGAGAAAAATGAAATTTAAAGGGCTGTGTCAAAAGAGAGATTTGCTATGTCTTATTCAAACTCATTGCATAGAGAAGAAAGGAATTGCTCATTTCTAAGAATTCATTCTGTCTCAGGAGTCTGGGTTTCAGTTACCATCAAAGAACAGTTACTGGCAAGGTGATTATAATGAGGTTTGACACTGGCAAATTCAACTATTGTACAACTTGCGGCATCAGGAAAAGTTATGACTCTCCTAGTTGCCTAACAAAAATGTAGCCTGTCGAAGGGTGTAAGCAGAGACCAACTTTCAATTCACAAACATGTCATCTGACTCTGGGAAGGTTATTGTGTTTCTCAGAAGAGTAAATTGTGTTCCTTCTAAGGAAATGTTCCAGGGCAGGAAGATCTAACTGAGAGCTAAGACATGCCCTGTAGCTGCTCAGCACCCACAAAACATCTTTCTGCTTCCAGCTGGGCAAGAAAGCATAATATCTTCTGGGAAGTATAAAAAGTTCAATAACTAAGTGATACAGCTTATCTAGAGGTCTTTCACATCTTCAAAAAATCTCCAGAAATAGAAAGACCTATGGGTAAATTTTACCTCAATGCCTGAAAGTACTTCAGGAACAAGAGTTCCTTTAGTTGATAATGAAATGAGGGTAAGAAAAACTAAGGGGACCCTTGTTCTCCATTGTTCAGTCAGGCATGCAAAGTGGCAGAACTTAGAGCCTTCTAATCACCAGGCAATCCCCCTTAGCTACAAAGAAACTAAGCCCTGTATAGTTAGTTACTCTCCTATAAATATCCAATAGGAAGTCACATGAATGGGATAAAGGCAGAGAACATCAGAGGTTATAGGGTACCATGTTAAGGTAAACTCATGAGGAGCAGTTAGTAAATGACAGTGCCCCTAAGTAAAGCAAGTAAATTTTTAATTCTATGAAAGCCTTACCTTTAAAGCACTTGGTATCTAAGATACCTGTTTTCTGTCTTTCTGGTTGGGTCAAAAAAGCTCTGTTTTGGGAAGCAAACCCTAACAAGTACCTTCAGAGTGAAGGACTAAAAGGTAACATTTCCCTAAGGAAGGCACTCTACCTAGCTGGGGCATAGGTGCAGATAGGAGGAGGACCCTGAGCCACTGAAGTGCAGGCAGCAAGGGAAGTCGCTGCCTCCGAGATTTGCCCCCTTTCCCATCCTGACATTTGGATCTAGGGCTAAAACCAAAAGAGTGGCAATGGCAGGCAAAAACATTTTCCAGAAGTTTTCATTTGTAAATCACTACCTGAAATTGAGTGGGCCGTGTCACTGAGAGACTATATTGAAAATGAAAAGATAACACTCCTGAAGTTTCTATTCTATTCTCCTGCCCACAGTCAACCTGTGAGATTTTTCATTTAAACAGCAAACTGTTAGTGATTTCTAAAAATGCATTATAATGGCTCTGAGTCTGTTTTAATGGTAACTTTTTCTGATGCTGAGAACTTCACACACTGCTCCACAATGGAGAAGAGAGCACTTTTACATAGAATTAAACTGAAAACCGAGACAGAGGAAAATGCATGGACAGAATCACCTTTGTGCCAGCTGACATTTTTAATTTATCATAAAGTAAGCAAATCACAATCATTGCACATTAAGTATCTAACTCTACAGTTTCACAAAAAGTTATGTGAATTTAAATTCATCTTACTCATGTGTTATGATAGGAACATAGTTATCAATAAAGCAAAGTTCCTTATTAATTGTGTAAAAAAACTGTACTTACCTAGACTTTCAACATTAACAGGATACTTGGTGAGGAAGGGGTCAGATGAAGGAATGGAAAGGAACAGATATCTTCTACATTTATGTAGAAATTTGAATCTGAGCTATCATTCAGTACAATGAAGCAAAGCACAAACACAAGTTCTTAATGCCTATTGTATGATACATATGGAAATAAAAATTAGGTTGATCCAAATCGTGTTAATAGGTGTTCTGATGGCTGAAAGCTAATAGCTAGTGTTAGAACACATGGGTGCTAAAACAAGGGTATGCAGATGACTCGAACAATCTATCTGCAAACAGTTCTTCAGAGTTTGGAATGGTAGGCTTGGAAATCTAGAGAGGAAGTTATTTTAGCAATCATAGTATCTCATTTTACAAGAATGCTAGCAATTGTCAAGTCCCTTTTCCTCTAGCCCAATGTTATAAAATCTCATACTGGGGAGGATGCAAGGGGGTCTCTTCTAGTTCCTACTGCTATGGCTCTAGTTTCTATATATCATCCAAGGTTTAGCTTCTAATCTAGGCCAGCTTCTCAGTGAGAGAAACACACAGGTTTTAAATGGTTCTATAGAAAAAGAGTTCCTACAATAGAGAGAGCTCTCAGTAAAGTCACTGTAGAGTTTTTAGTAAAGAGAGAAACTTTAGCTTTCTCTTATTACCCTTTTCAATTGTATCAGCAGGAGCCTCACACACATATAAAACAGGAAAGTAAAGTAAACCAATGAAAGACTCATTAGCAAACTAGTATGCCCAGCATATGCTACCAAGGTGAGAGCCTGAGCTCCCTGAAGGTGGGGACTTTTCCTTCTTAATCCATAACCCCACTCTCCGCAGAGTAAGGCACTGTTGGCTGCTGGTAGGATGACAATAAGACAAAGAGCAGGTACTTTGCGACAGGAGGAGGTTACTGGCTAGGTCATTCTCAAAGGCTACTGGTAAAAAAGGCTCAAGTCAGAAACTTTCACCTTGATGAAACCTCTGACTTAGGAGTTGGAGCTTTGAACCACAGGCCAAAAAAAGCCAGTCTAGTTGATTTAAGTCACTGAGATGCTCTGGTTCTCACCGGTGCTCAGAGACAGCCCCAATTTAAGAGTATGCTTGTCACTTTCTAGAGTTTCCTATTATCAAGTAAAAGTATGCAGAGGTTAAAAAAAGCCATGATTTAAAGAGGTACCCATGTAAAGTAGAAGAGGTCTTTTTTAGGCTTAGGAAATGCAATGCCAAAGGAAGGTCATGAGCTATGTTCCACTCTCAGTAGTTTTACTTATCAAGATTGAGGTATTCAAGGAAGCCCTTAATTTAGTCCAATCCAATAGGCAGGAAGCATTTTTCTGGGTTTCCACGAAGTCTACAAAATACATTATGAAACATGTAGCTCTTGGCAAGTCATGCTAGCCATGTCCTCTATCCTCATCACTCTGCCAAGGAAGCTCTGCTACAATATTAGGTGATAGGGTGGATAGCTCTCATTCTTTACAGGCCCAGAGAAATGTCCAGCTTACTGGCTATCTTTACTGAGAAGGTAATTAAACTCAAGTATGTACCCACCAGAGAGGTAGGCTTGATAGGACTATAGTTCTCTACAGAGGGCCTTGATAAATAATATTCATGGAAATATTTTATTGCAAAGTCATTTATAGAAGGGTTGTGGTCTGGGCAAGTCAGTCCTCAAATCAGAGGCTCCCTTCCTCCTATGAAAAGACATTATTGTACGGGCAGGGCTTTCCGCAATGGGTGGGGCAGTTCAGACAGCTTCTTCCAACCCTGAGAATGGATACACGTGTATGTGTACTGAAGAGAAGTAGAGACTTAATACTGCTTTTCTACAATTATAAGACATATTGAGCATTTTTCCTCAACCTTTATTCTTCTGAACTGTTCAGACTAAAGAGTTTGGAGATTTTCAATTTAGGATATTAAACTCCACTCCCCACCCTTGATCACTTTCTTTACCTTTCTAGCTCCCTGAGGGCAAAGACCATCTTGTCCTGAATTGCCTGTCATAATGCCTGACACAGAGAATGTGCTTCAGTTAATGTTTGAATTGAAATGTTGAATTTTGTTTGTTGAGGCTCAACAAAGTCGGGTAGCCCTAGGAGTCTAAAATCATCTTGTGGGGCGCTGGGTTGGCTCAGTTGGTTAAGCATCTGCCTTTGGCTCGGGTCATGATCCCAGGGCCCTGGGATTGAGCCCCATGTCAGGATCCCTGCTCGGTGGGGATCCTTCTTCTTCTTCTTCTGCCTGCCGCTCCCCCTGCTTGTGCTCTCTCTGTGTCAAATAAATAAATAAAATCTCTAAAATCATCTTGTGCTACTATATGACAACAGCTCCCTGTTTTGTTCCTAATTCTTTTTAAAAATAATTTAAAACATTACTAGCTTTGTATGATTCTAGTTATCCATTGGGCTGATGTCTTCAGGGAGTTCTCCTCAGTCACTCCCAGATCCCTTTGCTGAGCCAGAACTGATGAACACGGTTTGGCTTATTTTCCTCTAAATGCTCTTCACAGTTTTCAAATTGTTGCCACACAAACTATGTCATATGTTCTCATGAAGGACAGGAAGCATAGACTGCTATCTTCATTTTATAGGTTAGGAAATTGAGGTCCACAAAGATTAAATGACTCACTCAAGAGCACAAGGCAGTTTCTACCAGCACTCCGAGAAGAATTTCTAGTCTTGAACTGATCACTTACTAGCTGTGTAATTTGTGTACATCCCTTGACATTTCTGTGTCTCAGTTTCTTCACATGTAAACCATGGCTATCCTACCTACTTTTTATCCCTTATGGAGTTATGAATGATAAACTGAAATATTACTATTTGCCATTTATATAGCATTTACATTTTTCAAACTCTACATATCTCTTATCTCATTTAATCCCATAAGACTGGTTTCATTATTATCTCCAATTTAGAGGTGAAGAAGTAAGAGACTGAGAATGACTCACTAACTTGGTCAAAGTTACAGAGCTGCAATCTAGATTCTCTGACTCCAGATCCAGTGCCCTTTCCACTATACCACATCTACTGGGAAGCTCACGTAAGTGAGGCAACCGATGTGAAAGTGCTTTATAAAATGTAAATGCCTTACAAATGCTATATAAACGTTAAGGACTATGACAACCTGCTACCATACTAGCAAAGAGGACTCAGAAACAAAGTTGAAAAAGTTGCTGCATACACAGATCAAAAGTGTCAGGGGCTGGGTAAGGAAGCTGCCCATAGAACAGAAGAACTTGAAGTACAGGTATCACCATTCCAAAGGCAGATCCATGAAAATAAACCTCCCATCTTGGTTTTAAATCTTGGACTCAGGATAGCAACCTAATCACTTCAGACATATTCTATGCTAAAAGTCAACTGAGCACAAGCACAGAGCTGGGTGTCAACCTTAATCTGAAATCAGAGTCTTCTGTTACCTTTAAAGCTGCCACCTATAAAGATGGCTGAGTGGACTTGATCAAAGAGGCTCAGAAATTTCAATGCCCCAATGTAACACCAGCCTCGACTGTCAAGATGCTCTAAGACAGCCCTAATATTACTAACACTAGACACACGGGTCAGTAATTATCGTTGTACTCAAGACTAGCTAGCTTAGAGAAGTAAACTTCAAATTATCACAGCTATATTTTCACTACTCAGGTTTTCATCCAGCAGAACGCATTCAAGACAACATGTGCACATTTATTACCCTTTTGGCAGCACATGGTCTGGTCACAGTGACAGGCAATAGAACACATCTTAGTGTTTCATTAGAGACTTGTTGAGACCATGGGAGCTTGGCACTATTTAATTCTGACTAAACTCCAAATCAATAACTTGTTAAAGAAAGAAACTGTCACCCTGAGGGGCTACCAGAGTAAAAAGTTACCAACCTCAGCTTGTTTGCACCAAACGCTGATGTTTTTACGCTGGGCTTTTGTGAAATGGTCCCATGCCTTCTGTTTGGAGGCGGAATGGTACACAGCTACTATCTGCTCAACTGCAGCATCAGATCAGCAGTCAAATCAGGTCGGAGTATCATCCAGGGGTGGCAAAAGAGAGGAGAAAAGAAATAAGAGAAGCATCAGGCTTGTTGTATCTTCTCATATGACACCGCTAGGCTATGGTTGTGCTCTGAAAAGGTTACATGTGTTGGGGTACTGTGATCTTAAAGAAGACTCAAAGGCAGAGATATCAGTATGGAGAATAAATAAATGGAACTCCAGAAGGTTTGGGGTGAAATGGTGACTAAAGTTTTAATACAGGCAGTCTGTATTCATCCAGGCAGGTGAGGCAAGAGCTGTGGTGAATGTGATAATGACCCAGTGAGTGGCAAACTTGTACCAGCTCCTTCTGACCACAGGCTTCTTTCATAAACTAGCCTTCCAAAATGAGCTTGCATACTTCACTTCAACAGAATCCATCCTTTTGTTATTCTGAGGTATATTTAACCAGAAGCATCAAATTGGAACCTAAGATGAATGGAATCTATTTTAAGTCTATGTAGATGGGCTCATTGACTGGACAAATAGAAGTTTTATGGAAGAATACTTGCAAGTGCAGTCCTAAAGCATATTTTCCAGAGTCTCTTAAAAAACGTCAAATGGAGAAATGTGTACAAATATTCTGGTGCTTTTACCTAACCAGTTCACGAGAAGAATAGAAGAGAGGGGGGAGGAATAGAAGGACAAAAGCCTCTTCCTGAGTGGGTATTCACAGTAAGAAAATCCAGAGGTGTTATTTTTTTTTTTTCTTTACAGCTCTGATTGTACCCTGTCTATGAATGATTTAAGGATTTATAGTCCCATGATGCTTGCTGCTCTTTTTTCCTATTTGTTTTGAAGTCCTAAAAACATGTGTTTTCTCTGCCTGGATTCTATGCCCATATATATTTTCAAAATAAAAATGGAAAATGAAAGAACTCTTCCTTAATCCTAATTATGTATGAGTCAAGTGTGGGAAGTCACATATGAGAAGAGTGGGCCTTAATTGTTTAAAAGCCAAATCATAAAACTATATCCTTATTCTTAAGGTGAATATAGTTCCTTACTAAAAAGATATGAGTGCATAATTGTATAATATGTTGAACTAAAAACATCACTTGAGAATTTTTCTGATCTCTCTCATTTAAGAGACCAAGGAAAGGTTTGGAGTAGTACTTCTTTTTCTTTTCTTTTTATTTTGGTGCAAAAAGGTGGTTTTATTAAAGCATGGGGACAGGACCTGTGGGCAGAAAGAACTGCCAGGAGTAGTACTTCTTTTTGAAAATGGCCATTTTGGGGTGATGGGTATTAAGGAGGGCATGTGTTGTGATGTGCACTGGGTGTTATACGTAACTAATGAATCATTGAACACTACATCAAAAACTAATGATGTACTATACAGTGGCTAACTGAACATAATAAAAAAAAAAAGTAAAGAAAATGGCCATTTCGGCAGCTTCCCATCCCACCCAGTGTCTACAACATCCAGAAAAAAAATTGAAGTGAAGTGAAACAACAGGTAGAAGTAGCAAATTTGGCTTCTATTCAATCACCCTGGGAAACATAATTATACTTTCACTAAAATGTAGTACCTGAAAAAACATAATATGATGATGCAGATCTGAAGCAGAGAAGCTTATAAATGCTGATGCTGTATTCTAACTTTAGCAATGAAATACCAAACTTTCCACTGAGGTCTGAGGCTGCTTATTATAACTTACTTCGAAAACAAGCAAAAGTAAAAGCACAGGATGGTGGTCTAGCTGTTGGTGTTTCTAAGGAGCTGAAGGAGATATACCAGCAAAAATGAATATAGGAGGTGCCCACATGTATCCCATTAAATTGGAGCTCAGGCATTTGGCAATATAAAGAGAGCACAAGGCAGTGAAGAAGGGATCCTTGCCCCTCGACACAGGCTGGCTTTGTAGGCCTGGCTCCCTTGCAGAGAACGTGGTGCCAAAGTGAAGCGCCCTCTCACCCTTCCACAGAACTCTGACTTCTACTCACATTGAATGAGAATTCCAGAAAGGGCCTGCTTGAATTTCTCCTTTGCTTCTTCCATGTCTTTCTCATGGGCAGCTTTCTCGTTCACGAGGCGGCGAACGTGGCTGTTGGCTGACTGGATCATAGAGTAGAAGTTGTTGGCGCTGCGACGGTTCACCTCTCCTCGTTCAATCCAGGTGAGCAAGGTCTGTACAGCTTCTGAGAATTTGGAATCATCTGAAAAAAAGAGGATTTTTCAAATCATCAAAAGTAACCATGTCTCTACCTACCCAACATGCTGGCAAGGAAACCCCACCATGGCTTGTTGGAAGTGGTTGTTAAATGAACTGCGGAGGACGAAGAGCCGTGCGTGCACACACAGGTGGCAGGCAGGCAGGCTGAAAGGACGAAAGACCCAAAATGTAGTCAGACTGGTTGTAGTCTATGAAGAATTTTCAGAAAGAGAATTGGCACGTATTGCATGGAGTACTGGATGTTATACGCAACAATGAATCATAGAACACGACATCAAAAACTAATGATGTACTGTATGGTGACTAACATAACATAAAATAAAATAAAACAAACCAAAAAAAGAAATAATTGTTTCTTCTTTTTTAAAAAACATTTTCTTTACTGATACAGAGTTTATTAATTAGAGTAGAAGTTTACTGATTAGAGTTTTCACATATTGCGAATTTCTTAACCTCTCTGTATGTTTGTGCAGGTGTGTAATGTATGAATTAGCAGTGAGAGAACTTCAGAACCCTACAAACCTGTTTTTTTAATAAGGAAAAGTAAACCTAAGTCTTGAGTTTAACTTGAATTTGATAGTAACTTTATCCTGGATCCATGAAATTATAGTGTTGGAAGGAGCCTTAAGAAAGAGTTACACGGGTAGTTCTTTAGGCATCAACACTTATATTTTTGACCTCTTATAGCATCACTCCTGCATTCAGTCCACAGCCCTGGGCTTTTCACTCAGTTCCAGTCATAATCTATCTTGATGTAATTCATTCTATTTCTACATTTCTCCACATCCTGATTCTCTTGCCTGAGGAACCCTCCAAGTAGATTTCTGCAGCTAGTTAGGAGTTGTTCTCTGATGTTAAAATAGTAGTACAGCTTATCCAAAGCTTCTGGTTCAGCTTCCTGAGATAGGCACTTATATATTCTGTTAGAGGCTCCTGAGAGAGAGAGATCCATTAGCACCCCACTGAAGGCCTGTTCTAGGGCTCCACATCCCTGTCTGGCCAGAAACCCTTATGTGCAGTGGAAATAGCTCTCACTGCGATTTGAACTTCTTGCCTCTTGCCATTTTCCAGTGCAGACATATCATGAGAGGTAATCCTCCCCTTTAGGACAGCTTTTTATTTCATTACTTGCATACAATCTTTATGTTTGCTGGTCATTTTTTGCATGAGGCCCACACACCAGCACGTTCATTCTTTAAAAAAAAAATCAAACTGATTTGTTTGGTGTCCTATAAACATGACATTTTATCAATGCTTTCAGCCATTCCAGCTTTTCAAAATGTACCACTGTTTCTGTGTCTCCACTCTTGTGTCTCTCTTCTCTTACAGGAAGACAGAATCAATCCAAATGAAGGATTTCTTAAATGTGTGAATCCCTTAGGTTATATGTTGCAAACAAGTTTGGTGAATGAGACCTATTTGGAAAGTGGAATTAGCAGCATCGTGCTGAGTCTGGAGCACAAGAAGCACGGAAAATTCATACCATTAGAGCCGGGTTGGTATCATCAACAAGATCAATAGGACACCAGCATTCATCCAATAAAATCAACCATAATTGGAGAATGAAAAAGACTGGATTTGAACTACTAACACAGGAGACCAGGCAGGGCAATTAAAGTTAAATTAGAATAATGGCTCTGAGAGTCAAACACGGGGAACAGGAACAAAAACTAAAGGGAGAATGGTCTGATTTAGCAATGTTTCGAAGTCTCCATAGTCACCATATGAAATAAGTTGGCCATTTCAAATGATTAAAGAAGTCATCTTTTCGTTGGTGGTAGCTAAGTCTCTGAGCCATCTATGAATGGACACTGTGACCACTCTCTGGGCCCCCATTTTCTCATCTGTGGAAAGGGAATTTTTACCAGAGTTTTCCAGAGTGACATCAACTTCTATCATTCTGATTTAGAATTCAAAACTAACTTGTTATCCACAATGAAAGGGGATGCTGACAGGTCCCAAGTCATGAATCACAGCTAAAATTCTCTGATGTAGAAAAGTGGCGAAAATGCATCTCATCCTAGTCATCTTATGTATGGAGAGAAAAACACCATCCCCTGAGGCAGTGCAGGAGTAGAGACACAGGTGTGTGGACAAATCTTTCTGGTTCTTCAGTTACTAGGTACATCTCTCTATCTGCAAAACTCCAACACAAGAAATGCTTAGAATCTGTTAGTGGGAAATTCAAAGGATAACTGTCAACAATACAAATATATCTATTAAATTTCCCCAAAGAAAAGAGTTCTTTTAATCACAAAGCTCAAGTGCTTTCTGTACCTTTTAGTTTTTCAGCAACAATGCTGCATTCGTGATCTGAATAGTGGACCACTGGTGGTGGGGATGGTGGGCGCAATCTTTCTTCTTCCATCCTTCTGCGGTGGCGCTCCTCCCTTGCGAGCATACGCTGTTTGCATTCCCACTCATACAGGTCATCTCGAGCCTGTGCAAAATCAACATGGAGCCGGCCTGTGTCCTTCTTGTCAGTGCTAGAGCCCAGGCGAATGCGGTAACCTGAGTGCACAAGAGGGAGAGAGAGGAGTACAAGAGTAGCTCAGTGGGTGAACAACTGTTAAGTACTTTTCCAAGTTCAGTGCTTCCAATGTGGTTGTAGCAGTTTCAAGTGACCACATAATCTTAAATTCTCTCCTCACTACTAGCGAGGTGAACCATCAAAAAACTTGGACTATAGTTTCATTTCTGATCACAGTTTACTATTCTATGGGTTGGGTCAATCTTGTTCATAGTTCTATTCCTCCATCTGCCACCCTACCTCTGGCAGAGGGAGGCTCTAGGGATAATGGTATTAAGAATGAGCCTTATATAGCACCATGGGTTGGAATGAATGGGAAAGGTAGCCTCAAACTGTGGTGTCTTTGGATGACTTCAGGAGTATCAGTCATACCACTATATAGAATTTTAATAAAATTTAAATGGATCAGCTTGACATTTCAATTCCCCAAATTGTTTCCTAGATGTATTTGGCAACCCTGAACTTTTTTTCTTTCTGGAAAAAAAATGGATATGATAGGCAGTGGTATGTGAGCCACGTGATATATAATTTGAGATCCTTAAAAAAAAGAGGTAGTGTGCTTGTAATCTAGTGGTATAAGACCAGGATTCATAAAACCAGGATTGAAGTCCATACTTCCACTTTTTGTGCCAGTTGTACTACCCAAGTTAAATCTCTTAACAAAAACGTGAAAAACATTTATTAAGTTTTTATTAACTTTTTAAGTTTCAGAAGTGGAGCTAGCTGCTTCCACACACATTTATTTCACTTCATTCTCAGCATAAGCTTGCAGACCAACTCCTGCCTTAAATAACTAAAAATATGGAAAATGTATATGAAACAATGGTTTTTAAGACATTGGACATTGGGCAATGAAGACAGAGATCACTGAGAGACAAGAAGCAAATGAAGTGATCCCTGTGATTTCTCCAGTTTATTACATGGAGAGAGTTTCCAGGCCTCAGGACAGGGAGAGGAGCTCAGTCAAAGCATGGTGATCTCCCTGAGTTGAAGAGATTGAACTAGGAATCCAGGGAGACTATGACCGACAGAGTTTATATGGCAGAGTACTGGAAAGAAGAAAGCTACACAGAGAAAGAACTTCAGAGATCTGCAGAGGGTCCTCCATTATTATTTAGCTGCACATTGATGTCTCTGTGTGTGTGTGTGTGTGTGTGTTTGTGTGTGTGTGTATGCAGAAACTACCTGTGCATTAGAGGCAACAATCCCTGGAGCTCACATGGGGCTGGGAATAGTTCCTTTCCCCACAAGCCAGAGCAGAAAAAAAGAGAATAATTCACAGAGTATAGAGTAGAGTAGTCAGAAGGGTTTTGCCTTAGTTAGTGGAGAAAAAAGAGCCCTAGACTAAATCCTGCTCTGGTTCTGTTGAACAAAGCTTAAAAAACAAGACCTAAAAGGATAAAAATTTTTCCAAGTTACTAAACTGCATCCCAGAACAAAGTTCAAGAATATTTACAGGAATGAAAAATATATGGTACCCAACATGGTAAAATTCACAATGTTTAGTATCCAATAAAAAAATTACCCAATATTCAAAGAAGCAGGAAAATCACAAGAAAGATTAAAAAATTAACCAATCAAAATGGACCCAGAAGTGATACAGATAATATAATTAATATACAAGGACATAAAAACAACTATTATAATTGGATTTCATATGCTTAAGAAATTAGAGAAAATGTAACCATATTAACTAGTAACACAAAAGACATAAAAAAGAATCAAAATCAAATTTCTAGAGATTTAAAGTACAATGTCTGAGTTGAAAAAAATTCACTGAATAGGACCAATGGCAAATTAGACACTGCAGAAGAAAAGATTAATGAACTTGAAGACATAGCAATATAAGTCGTTCAAAATGAAAGATGGAGGAAAAGGACTGAAAGAAAATGAACAGAGTACCAATGAGATGTGGGACAACTTCAAGGGGCCTACGATAGCCTAACTGGGGTCCTGACTGAAGAGAGGGGAGGGAATAGAAAAAAATATTTGAAGAAATAAGGGCAGAAAAATGTCCAAATTTAATGAAAACTCAGAGATCTAAGAATTTCAATGAAACTCAAGCACAAGAAATATGAAGGCCATTATACCAGGCATATAATAATCAAATTTCTCAACACCAGTAATAAAAAAGAGAATATCTTAAAAGCTTTCATGGACTTAAGACATGTGCAGAGAAACAAAAAGATAACATCATATTTCTTGTTGGAAAAAATACAAACAAGAAGATAATGAAGTAACATCTGAGAGAAAAAAAAAAAAACACTGTCCACCCAGAATTCTACATCCAGAGAACATATCTTTCAAAAAAGAAAGGTGGAATAAGTTCTTTTTGATACATACAAATGCTGAAAGAATTAATCAGGAGCAGACTTGCACTATAAAAATTGTTAAAGGAAATTCAAGCACAGGGAAAATGATATCAAATGGAAATTTGAGTCTATACCAAGGAAGGAAGAGCATACATAATATATGATTCCATTTATATGGAACTCTAGAAAATGCACACTAATCTGACAGACAGTGGAGCAGTGGTGGCCTGGGGAGAGAAGGGAGGGGTAGGAGGAAGGGGTCACAAAAGGAGTATGAAGGAAGCTTTTGGGGGAGGTGGACATGTCCATTATTTTGACTGTAGCGATGGTTTCACAGCTGTATGTATGTATGTGCCAAACTGTATTTTTGAAATATGTGAATTTCACTGTATGTCAATTATTATACTTCAACAAAGCTGTTATAAAGAATGCCCCTTAACACTAAAACCGCTACACATTCTTTTTAGAAAGAGGAAGAATACATTTCATAAGCACATTTTGCTAGGGCTCTTTACAGTTTACAATGCACTTTCACACTCAGTCATCTTATTTGATCATCTGAGCCATCAGAAAAAGAGCTATTAATGATTACCTTGCCTATTATCCCAGTATCATGGAGAGGATCAAACAAGAGGATGATATGAAAGCTTGGTATAAACACACAACAGATACTGTGATGCTATGAGATTGGTACATCGTGCACAATGCCAGCTCCCTAAGATGCTCAAACTCCAATAGAAAGAAATGGTTATTTCTACATTCCCAGCCCCTTTTCTAAAGGATTTTTGTTTTAACCTTTTTTTTTTTTTTTACAATGTGGGAGAACAGCCATCCAATTCAGGACATTTCTAGCACTTATGAGCTTTCGGGGAGCAGGTTCAAATTTAAAGGGCAAAATTTAGTTATTTTCACATCACTGATGATTGCAATCCCCTTTCTCCTGGCAGCCTTGAGAATGTTTCCAGGATGTAGTTGTTGCCAGAGAGCCGATTACAATGATGTTTAGATGGATACCTCCCGAGCAGCATGTCATCTTTTATGTACAACTGTTCAGAGTTTTTCAAGACCTTTAAGTTCTTATTAAAACAGTCTATTGTGGAATGCTCTATTATCATTCCTAAGTGCTGTCAAATCTTCTGTATATTTTACAGCACTTAGAAAATGTAATAACGTGGGGGGTGGGAGGGATGGGGTGTCTGGGTGATAGACATTGGGGAGGGTATGTGCTATGGTGAGCACTGTGAATTGTGTAAGACTGTTGAATCACAGACCTGTACCTCTGAAACAAATAATACATTATATGTTAAAAAAAAGAAGAAGATAGCAGGAAGGGAAGAATGAAGGGGGGAAAATCAGAGGGGGAGATGAACCATGAGAGACTATGGACTCTGAGAAACAAACTGAAGGTTCTAGAGGGGAGGGGGTGGGGGGATGGGTTAGCCTGGTGATGGGTATTAAAGAGGGCATGTACTGCATGGAGCACTGGGTGTTATATGCAAACAATGAATCATGGAACACTACATCAAAAACTAATGATGTAATGTATGGTGATTAACATAACATAATAAGAAAAAGAAAAAAAAATGTAATAAGACTATGCTACATCTCAATAGCCAAATTATGGAAGCAGCCCAAGTATCCATTGATAGATGAATGGATAAAGAAGAGGTAGTATATATATATATACAATGGAATATTATTCAGCCATAAAAAGAATGAAATCCTGGGCGCCTGGGTGGCTCAGTTGGTTAAGCGACTGCCTTTGGCTCAGGTCATGATCCTGAAGTCCCGGGTTCGAGTCCCGCATCGGGCTCCCTGCTCAGCAGGGAGTCTGCTTCTCCCTCTGACCCTCTTCCCTCTCGTGCTATCATTCTCTCTCTCTCTCAAATAAATAAATAAAATCTTTAAAAACAAAACAAAACAAAACAAAAAGAATGAAATCCTGCCATTTGCAATGACATGGATGGAGTTAGAGAGTATTATGCTAAGTGAAATAAGTCAGAGAAAGACAAATACCATATATGATTTCACTCCTATGTGGAATTTAAGAAACAAATGAGCAAAAGGGAAAAAAGAGACAAACCAAGAAACAGACTTAACAAAAGAGAACAATCTGATGGTTATCAGAGGGGAGGTGGGTGGGGGGATGGAGGAAATAGGTGATGGGGATTAAGGAGTGCACTTGTTGGGATGAGCTCTGGGTGATGTATGAAAGTGATGAATCACTATATTGTACATATCTGAAACTAATATAATACTATGTTAACTAACAGAAATTAAAATAAAAAAACTTTATTAAGTTTTTAACCCTCATTAGGTTTTCCCTGGCCTGTTGCAACAGGCATCTAACTGACCTCCCCTCTTCCTAGATACTGGGGATTCAAAGTTAAATAAGACACAGTCCCTTCATTTAAGGAGTTCATACTCTGGTCAGGGAGACAGATGTGGAAAGAGACAGTTCTAGCATGGTGCTATAGGTGTCATGCTAGGAGGAAACATTGGGTACTGTGGAAGTGCTAAGGAGGGGTTGCCCAGACCAGCCTGAGGCACAGTGGGGAGAGAAGTCAGAGAAAGCTTTCCAGAAGAGGTTATGCTTGAGCTAGAGCTTTGGGGTGTGAGGATGTATATATGGCAGGTGGGATGGAAAAGGTAATTATAGTCAGAGGAAAAAGCATAAAGCACCATGGCACATTCTGAGAACTAGAATTAGCTTCGTGTGGTTAGGACATCGTATGTGAGGGAAGAACTGGGAGATGGTGCTGTGAGGTAAGACAGATAATCAAGGCCCTTAGATGTGACAAGTAAGGAGCTGTGAACAACAGAGACAACTGAGAACTACCAAAGAACTTTAAGAAATTGGGTACAAACATTCATTTTCCATCTCTGAAGGCAAGAGGGGATAGCAAAAACTTTATCTGCCACAGATGCAAATACACTGACCGGCAATCTCTGCACTGTGCCTGGTGGGCACACTGCTCATAACTAAGCACCTACCAGAAAGATAAAGGGCTTTGTCCACCATGTATTCCTCAGCAAAGCGAATGTGACAAAAGTTCTTTTTGCTCTTCCGAATAGCAATGATCTCTCCACACTGTTCGAACACTTCCACAATGATCTGCTCTGTCCCATTTTCAGGCAGGCCACCCACAAATACTGTTTTGCACCCTGGTGGTCGTTCTCGAGTTGCAGGAGGTGGAAGATCTGAGTGGAATTGCAAAAGCAATTAAATTAAATTAAATTAAAAATTAAAGAATTAAGATGTTTGCTTGGGACAGACCTCTTAGAAATCTAACATGACCCAGAGATAGCCCTTCGGTCCCCATCAGACTTTGGCCCGAGTGCCAAAAGCGTGTGGCCTCTAAGGCACTCATCTCTGCTCCATAGCACATGGAAATCATTTTATTCAATGGTTTGGTGATCATGATGCCTAAATGATAAAGACTCAGACCCATCTGTCTGTCCCATCCAGAGTTCTTTAATTCTGTTCTTTACTTTTGCTGTGACAACTCAGCTATGCCCAATTTTCAGTCATTTTTGCTAATAAGACAGTTGGGGGGAAATCCCACTCACTTTAAATTCTTACTTTCTGGAATTCTCGGAACCAAGGTCCCTGAGAGAAGGGTTGTTTAATTCAGTTTATAGTTACTAAATTCTCTGTTCATGCTTACTGAAAGAACTGTTTCAGAATTAATTTGACAATGATGGGGTAAACATTTACAAAAATATTTACGGGTACCAGAATGATTTGGCTGACAAAGTCAGCCAGACTATAAACCATCCTTTCTAGGTTTTTTGTCTTTTGATACCAGTGAGTCCTTCTTCCAATTTCTGGCTGGAGAGGTGAGGTCCAGAGTCAATCCTGCAGCATTTAGAGGGAAGTATGAAAGACAGCAGAGAAAGTAAGCTTGTCTGGGAAATCATTAACTAAAGTGAGATAAATTTGGCTATAGAGAGTCATTAAAAACCTATTTAATGAGATGATTCTCCCTCTGCTAAAAAAATATGCTTTCTACTCGCTCATCTTATACATAAAGCCTGTTGTATCTGCCAGCTCCGTCTTGCTATTTATATGTATCCAAGCATTTTCCAAGCAAAATTCTACAGTTCACAGCCCAACAAAACAAAGCATGAAGGTCAAGGGTTTTTTTTTAGTGTTGGTTTTGTATCTGCAAGGATTTATTTTGTGTAATCCATTCTTTTCATTCAGCTCTTTACAATAATTCTCCCAGCTCAAGATTTAGAGAGCTCAACAACTAGTGATTATAGCTCTCATGCAAAAATAAATGAGTCTCACTTGTAGATCAGGCCAAGGTCCCCACTTGACGCTTATCCAAGTTGGCAAGTGGATGATTTGGGAGCCTCCTTGGGTATGAGCATCTCTAGCTTCCTTACTTTGCTACCACTGTCTTATCAGTGTGGCTCAGAATAATCAGGTTCTCATGATGCTCTCTTCCCCTCTATTTAGTCAATAAAAGGGGTAAAGGGATTCAGGGAACTTATAAAGTTTCTGTTAATTTTAAAAATTTCTGTCATTTCAAGAATTCACTGTATGGTCTTTGTTCTATAGGAAAAGTTTAAAAGGAAAAGGAAGATAACCTAGTGAGCAGGAATCTGAAATGTCTTAGTCATGCACACTGGAACACTTTGATTTTAGCCAAAAAGGGGAAAAATGAGGTCCAGAATCTCTTGAGACTTCTGCTTCTGAGTTTTTTTAAAGAAATAGAAGGATTCTAATATCACACACTTCCAGTGATTCTCAACTCTGACAGCACATTAGAATCAACTTGGGAGTCAAACAAAAAATCCTGGGCCCACTCCAATGAGTGATTTAATTAGTTTGGGTGCAGGCTGTGCATTATTTTTTTTAGAGCTCCTCAGGCAACTCTAATGAAAGCTAGGATTGAAAACCACTGACTTGGTCTAAACTTCTCATGTTACAGAGAAAACCTTAGCTGAGTCAGGTTGAGTGACTCATTCAAGGTCACCAAATTAGAAAGAGAAGGAACATGAACTTGGAGCAGGTAAACTTGGATTTAAACCTCAACTTAATAACTGTCTGTAGGACCTTGTGAAAATTACATAACCTCTGAGAACCTCATTCTTTCATCTGTAAAATGGGGATACTGTCTTCTACCTTACAAGGATTTTTGTAGGATAATCGATAATCTATGTCTATATTGCAAGTGGTACAATGCCTAGCACTTGATAGGTTCCCAATAAATAGTAGGTATTGTAGTGTTATTATTATTTACTGTTATAGAACCCGGGTTTCCTGATTACCAATCTGAGGCTTTCTAAAGCCCTACCACAAGTCTGGAGTGGAGTGGTAGCTTAAGACCTGGACTTCTAAATTCCTAGCTCCTTGCTTTATCCAGATCTTCAGATAAGGCTTGGTTTGGGAAGGAATCACTCTTCTAAATCGAGGAATCTACAGCTGTGAAGACACATATAGTTTTGACCATGGAACACAGAGCCATGTTTTCAAATCAAGGGCTTTAGCCAAAAATCCCATTTTAGAATCCTTCTGAAGTTTACTATTTAAGGAATTTGATGGTAAAGAAACTTTTTGTGGAGCAAATGATCACCTTTTTATATTATTCAAGTTTGCTTAGTTAGGTCTACCTTTTGGTCCACTGAGAGACTCTAAGGAATGTCCGGTTACTTTGCCACGGTTACATATAACACTGAAAATACAAAGGCTTTTTCCTTTAAAAATTCTGTGGGATTTAAAAATTCTGTGATGAAGTCATCACCCTATTCAGATGCTGTGATTATTTTGTGGTAACTGCTAAGTAAGAAAGCATAAAAGCCACTAAGAGTGGGGTCAAGAATGCTGGGGTTTATTTATTTTCCTTGGGTAAATGTAGAAAGCCTCTTCGATAGCATTTGCTAAGATTTAGGTGTATGCCACTCAACAAGGCAACGGGCTGTACTATCTTCCTTAATGGATAGTACTTGTACTTTAATTAGCAGCTCAAAGCACTTTGCTGTCTGGGCCTGATTTTCTAATCCCACTGAAATATAGTGATCTGGGCACAGCAATGATAACTCCATAGGAGAGCAAATTCAAAGTTCACCTATTAATCAGGTAATGTGCTAAACTCTCTTAACACCCCAACCACTACTCTGGATAGAGAAGAAAACTTCATGTAAAATGATTCAAGATAACTGAGAGTATAAAGAACTTTAATCTCTGGTAATGGAAAAGGAGGAGCTTCTAGCAACTCTAATTACAACTAAGCACCTACTCTGGGGAGCTCTTTTGGGGCAATCAGCATTAAGATCAGAGTCACTGCTGATCTTTGAGAAGTGAGGTAGGGGGCAGCAAGTGGCATAAACCACTTGCTTGTATCTTGCTTTTCAAAGGAGCGTCAGATATCACTCCACTGGTTTGCCAGAATTTATGTACTGCAAAGTCTTTGAGTTGATTTCATTAGACAGCCCAAGACTGAAGGCCTCCTAGACAATCAGCAGGGGCCAGATATATTTTAATGTAATTCCAACTGATTGGTAATAATCAGAAGACTGGTGAATCTTTATTCTCAATTTACCCACTTTCTCTAATTTTCTTTATAGAACCCAGCCCTAGGAGCCAAAATGAGGTTGGCCTGTTCTGAAATAGTAAAATGAAAAAAATTGCTTTTTTTTTTTCTGGCTCCTGGGTGTTTTCCCACATCCCCGTATATAGCAGGTGATATTCCACCATTTATTCCAAGTTTCCTGTTAACTGGACAGTAGACTCAAAATGCAACCTCTCCATGCAGAAGGTCTATCAGCTGAAGTGGGAGGAAAACCGATAGTGTCGTATCCTGAAAGCCAAGTAAAAAAGTATACTAATGAGTAAGCAGAAACCAACTGTGTCATATATGGCTATTAGGTCATTTAGGAAGAGAACTGAGAATTGACTACTGGATTTAGTATTATAAAGTCACTAGAGTTCTTAAACAAGGGGCATTTTGAAAGGGGGGCGGGGCAAAAGCATAAATGAAGAAGATTTAAGAGAAATTGAAAAAAACTGGAAACAGCTAGTAAAGAGGGCTTTTGTACAGAAATGCAAACTCCTCTTTTAAATTTTAAAATGTTGGAATTCCTCAGGGCACTCTGGTTGTCATCCTTTCTTGAGCTATATAATCTCTCTAGTGGTCTTGGTCATTCTTACACTTTCAAATGACGTATTGTTTCAAGAAGGATGAAGGGGTCACTAGTACTAAAAATAGGAGAGAAATAAAGTAATTTAAGGGGTAAAAATTATTCACTGGACCTAGCACCCAATATTTAAGTGAAAATGCACTAGAGCGATGAATGATTAACTATTGTTTTAATTTCAGTATCTTCCACATGGAAATGTTCCAGGAGAAGATAGGCTTGCAGTTGGGCTGGAGAGAAATGGAATACTGGGAAGCAGTTGAACTTGACTAAGGGGTGGGTAAGTGGCAAGTAGAAATGATGGATCCAAGACAGTCACATGAAGCATACCAGTGAAAGGTTTTTGAAGTCAGGAGTTGGACTTGGCATTTGTGGGCAATGGGAGCCCCAGGACTTTTGGGTTCTGTATATGTAACAAGAACCTGGATGAAGTGTCAGGTGGGATGGGGGTAAGGAATTGATGGTAAAGATGCTTTCTAATGAAGCGAGACAGAAGCAGATTCGATGGCTGCATAAAGAGACTGTGAGATCACAGGACCTTATTGCTTGAGAGGCCACTGAGTGCAAGAGAATATATCAGAGACAGAGGCAGAATATAGCAGAGGCAGGCTAAGTGCTGGGGTTTATAATCAAGGCCTTAGCAGACAAGGTTGGTAGGCTCTGGAGAAGATAAGGGATTCAGGCATACCAAATCCCTCTTCCCATCACACCTTCATAGTCTGGGGTGTTAACAAAAATCATACTTGCCATGCTTTCAGCACAGAACTAAGGGAGTCTTCTCCATTAGCGTTTTCCCCCAGACAATTAACCTGAGCCCCCTTGTAACAAAATCCAAGTTCTAAACAGGAAATAGAATACCAGTTTACTTTAAGCTGTGTCAGGAGGGTCCATTTTTAATTCAATCCAAAGCCAGGTTCCTTCCCAGAAGCCACCACTTTACTGGCACTAATTGCTCTGTCTGTATTCTTAACACAGAGATGAAGAACTAAAGGATTGAGCTATGAAGGTAAAATGTTCCCTTTTACTCTATGGCCCTTCCAGCTCAGAACTGCAAAGGCATGGTGTAGGTGGGGAAAGATAAATGTATTTGAGAGATGTCTGTCTCTTTCTTTTCCTAGAGACTATCAAAAAGTTAGAGCCTCATAAAAAAAGTTTAGAACCTCTTTAAGCTGTGTATGTCTATTCTTTTAAAGTCTGCTCAGCAATATGGTCTATGTGTTATACACAAGGTATCTGTTATTCTTTGGAAATTCAGCAACTGAATAGCCTATAAAGTTGTCACTTCTACACAGCCAAGATATTACAGGTTATGAGCCATCCTGTTACAGTGGACTTGATTGAGACAATGAAAGCCTAGTGCAGGCTGATTATGTAATAAATGGATGATTAAACCAGCAGGATTCTACCTTTACATACGTAGGAGGTTTTAACACTGGAAATGCCTAAATTCATGGCTTTTGAAGTGAAGAAAGGTAGTATCAGTGATGCACAGCTTTCTCTAATCCAAAAGCAACACACAGGAAGACAGGGAAAAAAGTCCACTGCCCATTTGTAAGGACAGTGGCAGTAAGAGTAAGAGACAAGGGTACAACAGTGCCATTCATTCACCTAGGCACTAAACACAAATCCAGGAATGGCCACTTGAGCTGGCAGGTAAGGCCTACTAGGCCATCTTATTCTCCATTCCCTAATTCTCCTGTGACATACTAGCTCTTCTCCCAATTCAGTCCTCTGAGATGCTAGCCTCCGAAATTTCTTATTGGCCTGGAAGGAAGTACCCTGCTGACGATCAAGTTCAAAGACCTGAAGAAGGGATTAAGAACATTTTTCACTAGCAAAAGGGACCAAGGTGATTTGTCTAACCAACCCTGACTGACTCTAAAATTCTCTCAGTTGTGAGCAGACTATCCTAAGTAGAATCTGGGTCCCTGCCAGGGCATGATTCCATGATTAACTGATTCCTATGTAAGGTAGGAGATGAAATAGTTGTCTGAAGTCACATGTCAAAAGTTATGTTTTTTGTGATAAGGCCAGTTCATTTGGTCTATGGCCTGAACCCTTGAATGTGTCCCTTAACAGCTTTAATCTCAGCACTGTGGTGGCAGCTCCCTTAAGTAGGCCACCCAGCACCACCACTAGAATCATGGAAAAAGCTTTAATGAGGCTTGAGTCATGGGCAGAAATAACTTCTGATCGCTTAAAGTAAATAAAACCCCAAATATATCCAGAAAAAAAAGTTTGAGTCAATTATTGCTGCTATATTTTAAGTGAAATATGTCCACCATATCTTTGCAGATGTTTTTAAGAGTCTAAGGAGAAACCTGTTCATTACTGACAAGATAGATCCCTAGACCATTTCCACATGAATTTCATTGATTGGATGGATGCCAAGTAGTTTGACTTGGTCTCAGTATTCCTCTTTGCCCTCATTGCAAGTTAAACCTCACCCCACTGTCTGTTGCAGCCCATCAGTTGAATAGCAGTAGTTGGAGTGATGTGTGAATAGCTGGTGGCAGTGGAGGATTCTTAGCACCAAATGTATATTCTCATGTGCCTCAGGTAGGCTCAGACATACTCTATTACTGCCATCATCAGCATGTAGGCCAGTTATGAAAAAGAAAGTCTGTAAATGATAGTGTTGAACAATTTGTGTCAGGTGTCTCTTTCTGTACAAACACACTTGAATGCCTTACCAGATGGCATTAGAAACATGTTTTATCATTTGTACTGCAACCAGCACAGAGAAATCTACTGTTCTGTGCATAAAATTCAGCCATGCCTAGTAAGAGAAAATTTTCCTGTCTTCTGTTTTCTAGGTGAAGCTTCTATACATACATCTATGAAGCCCTTGGGTATTCTTTTGAAAAAGAAGAGTGTTCCCAGACACCAAAACATTGTGACTTGTGTGGAGAAAAAGCAGAATATTACTTGGATTTGGAGGGAAAAGCGTGCAGCTTTTACAGTGTATGATCTCTTTTACTACTGGCATATCTGGTGGAATTGGAGGAGGTACTATTCCTAAGCCAGGCATCATTGGAGTTATTGGTGGAATTCCAGTCATCATTCCAAGAGCAGGATCAAAATCTAAAAAAGGAGAGAAAAGACAGAACAGTAAGTGACACCAGGCAAGGTCAAGTGGAGGCAGAATATTACCTTATAAATTTCAAACCAAGGATCTTTCTAAGACAGAAGCAAAATATTTAAGAAAACATGGTATTAGCATTACCAGGTCTTAAATATTATATTCTACTTGTGCATTTTCCTTTTGGGATAGGGCTGTTTGTTTTTGCTTGACCAGTCTGTTTATCTCTATATCTCATTTTGATATCCAAGGCCTTTCATACTATGACTGTGCCTTGTCTGTTGATCTTGCCTTCCACTAGTTCCCAATGCATACCCTCCACTCCATTCAGACAAGGCTTCTTGCTCTCCCTTGTAACACTTCTTGTCTTTTTGCTGTATAGCGTGGTATTAAGAGCATACAATTTTGGGCATCAGGCAGACCTGGGTCCTACTTCTATTATTTGCTTAGCAGGATGAATCTTTTGAACCTCCATTTCCTCATTTGCAAACCCTTACCTTATAGGGAGCTATGACAAATAAACAAAATGATGAATGTAATGTGCTTAGCATAATGTATAGCACAAAAATACTCAATAAATATTCTCTGTGCTTTTGTTCATATTGTTCTCCCTGCCTGGAATCATTTGAGCCTCCCCAAATTCTCCCCATACTTCAAGGCCTGCCTTAAATAACTCTCCAAGGCCACTCTCCCTGAAGAACTTTTTCCATATAATTCTGGTTCATTCTCAACTCTGTGTTGAAAAACTGTTCTATATCTGTTGCCACTGAATTTTATTTTATTTTGCATCATCTTTTCATTGAGGGATGCTTCTAGGATGTGTAGGGGCCCTCACAAATGTTTTTCTGTGGGGTTCATCTATATACACAGTTCAATTCACCCCAAATCAGCATCAACACTATTCAGTGGCATAATCTCATGAGATACCATGGGAGAAATGCCACACCAGGCAGCTAGAGTGATTTACTTACCAGTCTACCTTCCTGGAAACAAGACTCTGGGAGGACTCCACAGGCAGGAGTTTTGAAGCTTCTTGGAGAATCTGGTTGACTCCACATGTGGGGTAGAGGATTGGAGAGTGACCCAAAGAGGAGAAAGGAGGACTGGGGTCCACATAAGTTCAGTATGAGAGCGGGACTCCTTGCTCAGATAACAGTGCAAGTCCTGGTCAATTCCAGGCAATGAAGAGGAACTTTAAAAATTTCGAGAAATGTGCTTCTTAAGATTAGAACCTATATAGGACCTGTTCTGGACTCAGGGCACCTACCCTGATCATACTACCTACCTGGCTGGTCCTTAGCACCGGATGGGGACTTAGAAAATATCAGGGCAGGCATTTCAAAGCATGAGGTCCCCTGAGATGAGGGCCTGGGGCAAAGGTCCCACTTGCCTGGGTGTATGGGTGGTACTGATTTCACTTAAATTTTGTCTCTATATCAAAATGCAAGTTCTTTGAGAGAAGGGAATGCATTCTACTTATTTCCCCACCTCTCACTGTTGTCCTCTGCTACAGAATGCACAATGGACTGCAAACAAAGTATTGCATAAGGAGTTCTGATAACGTAGGGGGCAGATGAAGTAGCACTAGCAGGTCCGACTCCCAAAAATCTTACTCTGCTCACCACAAACACTTGAGGGGCAACGCCTATAAGCATGTCCTTAGGCTGGCTCTGAATCCCCTGGGTGGCTTTCTAAGATATTAAAGGGGGTAGATCTAAACAGGGGGAAGAATCTGTGGTCCCTAGAGAAGCAGAACTTAAGGTACGATAGGATCAGTAGGGGTGAGTCTTATGACCAGGCAGATAGGCAGGCGGGTAGCACGTGTGCATCCTCCATTGCAAAGTCACCCCATAAGAGCTAGGGCAGTCCCTATCTTCCCACATGCTTGTCATGCTGAAATATCAAGACCCCAGATATGTTTGGGAAGAAAAAAAAAGGTCTTCCAAGAAATTAGAAGAAATTTTATTTTTCTGAAAACAAATTTACTTTTAGCTCTCATATGTCAGCTCACCCAATATGCACTTGTACACATGCATGTGAGCGTGTGTGCGTAAACACACACACACACACACACACACGCACGCACCCTTCCTTCCTCCCTGTGGCTCTCATATCTCTAGTTTCCTCCACATACTAGTTACATGACCTTAGGGAAGGTTTCTTAATATCTGGTAACATAGCACTATTTCTTTTCTGATAAAAGTGGGGATAAATGATGACATTTAGCTCAAAGGATGAAAGGACAGAACAGATACGAAAACACCTGGCACGACAGACGGTAGTCCTGATAGGTAAATTTCTGTCCTTCCATTCAATAAGTTCACTTATTCAGGCATTCATTCCCACATTCCACAAGCATTTGTGATAGCTTTTAATATGTCAGGCTCTATCAGGTGGGGGCAGGGGGTCCAGGTCTTCCTTTCCATCTTGGAGGACTTAGGCCCCTGATACCCTGTGTTTCTATGCTGTATAATAACAGCACTGTGGTTAAAAATGCCATTTGTGTCTTTGGAAAATTTGATTCCTTGTGTATATGATTTTGGGAAAATTGTTAACATTATCTCACCCATTTACAAACTGTTAATTTTCAATAGGAAAAGATCAGATTAGATTGTGTGCCAACTAAACAATTTCATCTACTTTTCCCCTCCAACTGAAATGTTTGTCTTCCTTTTATTGTTCTGCCTGCCTCCTCATTGTTATTCATATAGCTCTGTCACTCACAACTCTACCTTACCACAGATTACAGAAACATCAGTTCATTAAACAAGTTCTGCCACTTCGGCTGAGAAAGAAATGCCTGTCTCCATGTACTGTCTACTAATAAATGGAGACAAACAAAAAACAAATACACAGGATAAATATAACTCCTGACTGATGTACTCACCACTCTGTTTGGTATGATTACATTAATATTTTATGAAATTCATTTAAAAGCAAATGTATTCATGACATATGGCTTTCTTCCTTGTGTTCAATATGCCAAGAGTTCCATAGGCTACACTGCCTAGCAGGGCTTGCTAGAGGGCAGGTTGCACATGACATTTCAAAGACTCCTAACACATTGATTATTTCGTTTGTTTATCTTCAACCATTAAGCACCAAAGTCGATGTGAATTTCCAATGCCAACCAAGAAAACAATTTGAAATCGTCGGACTTAAACAAGTATTGCAGAATCTGAAAAACCAAAGTCCAAGAATTGAAAATACATTGGGAATAGAATACCAGAGAAATTATCTCCCTCTTCAAGGCCCCCAGCCTGGCTTCACAAGTACACTAACAAGTGCGTAGTATTAACATTTATGTTAGGAATTCAAACTTTTATTTATTTATTTATTTATTTATTTATTTATTTATTTATTTATTTAATTTTATTTTATTGTGTTATGTTAGTCACCATACATTAGTTTTTTTTCCTTTTTCCTATTTTTTTAATTTAATTTTATTATGTTATGTTAATCACCATACATTACATCATTAGTTTTTGATGTAGTGTTCCAGGATTCATTGTTTGCATATAACACCCAGTGCTCCAAGCAATACAGGAATTCAAACTTTTAAAGGAGATTTGAAATCGTTTTATAAGGATTATGGAAAAGGCCAAGGTATTCCTCCAAAGTCCTTCCCACAATAAATACCCTGTTCTGTTTTGCTTTTATATCTCTTCTTCTAGCACCTTTTCCCTATAGCCTTCTGACTCTTGGTATTGCCATGCCTGGAAGTGTCATAAGACGTTGGTTTGTATTCCCCCTTCTGATTCATGAACTTCCCCAAATCCCAGCTTACTAGAGATGCTACAGATGCTTTGTGAGTTGGGCCAGCTTGCTCCTCTGAGTTGTGGCTCTACTACATGATTTCAAGTAATATTTCAGTGTAGCCTTAAACATTCCTGTTCCTTAGCAACTTGGGCTCATTCAACCTAGAGTAGTTACCTGGAAGTAAAATCATCCTCTGTTCTCTATGCATTTGAGCCAGGGAGTTACACTGGAGGCACATACCATTTCTGTGCTGCCATCCAGTCATTCATATGTCCATCCAGTTAATAGTTTGATGCCAGGCCCTGTGCCAGGTGTTGGGATTGAGGGAATGAGTAAGGCAAAATCCTCGGCCTCATAGTCTAGTTTAGAAACATCCATGCAGTTACAATGCTGTATCACCAATTATCAACACCCAAATTGTTGGGTGCTTACAATGTGCTAGACACTGTGCTAAGCATTTTATATAATCACATTTCAGTAAGCCTATGAACTAGCTACTTATCCTTCATTTTATACAGAAATTGGGGCTCAGAGTATTTAGTTACTTGACCAAGATTACAAGCCAGTAAGAAGCAGAACTAGGATTCAAATCTAGGCTGGTCTAACCATAATGCTCCTAACCACTACACTGTCTCAGTGTAGTATGACAATTGTTTTAATGAATTAACTTCATTATAGGTGTAAAGTGAACCAGGTATAACTAAAAACATGGCAGATGAGCAACAAAGTGCTTCCATACAATTATTTTTTTCCCAGTGGGACAGATTAAAGGTGGATACAAATTCTTTGAGACCCTTCTCATCAAGAGATGAGGTCTATGCCCCCCACCCCATTTGAATCTGGATGGGCTACAGACTACTTTGACACAAGAAGTGTTCTGTTTTCAGGCTCAGGCCTTAAGAGAGATACCATTCCCACTTCTTGTTTCTGGGAACACATGCTACTGGAGCTTCAAGATACCGTGTAACATGTTGGAGTATCATGGTAGAGAGACATGTGGAGAAGGCCTTAGAGTAAATGGAAAGAGAGGGATCCAGCTGAGCTCAGTGTTTTTATCTGTCCCTGCCAAGGTGCCATGCATACGAATAAAGTTGTCTTGGAACCTCCAGACTAGCCTACCATTGCTGAGACATCCCAGTTGATACCATATGGCACAAAAGAATTGCCCATATGAGTCCTGCTCAAATTCTTCACCCAGAAACTCTTAAAATAGAATAAAATGATTGTTTTTTAAGCTGCTAAG